TAAATGTTCCTTTGCGCAATATTTCTCAACAGAAACTGTGCTGGAATTCTGTCTTAATGCCATGATTCACTTTTTTTTCGTATTTTTTTTTCCATCTGGTGCATATGTGTGGACTGAGACATGTTATCATGTTCATAATCATTATTTACATTTCCATTTGGGTTTTCCATGGGTTTATCCAAAGTGACTTAGAAGTGAGGCAAAACACAATCCAAGCTCAGAGCTCTTAAAGGAGCCAAAGAACTAAAGTTGACCAGGAGCAGGTGCAGGACAGTTAAAGGTGTCTTAACATATTGAGCACATCAAGCAACTTATTATTCTACAATATTTTTTGGAATATGTTTATGGAAGCTTATGAGTACAACATGAAATGATTAAAATATAAGGATTAAATTATGCATTATGCAAATATTATGCATATTTATTTCATAATTGCGACCATTTACCTCACAATTTCTAGTTAAAATCATGCAATTGCGAAAAGTTGCGCTAAGTTTTTATTCTACGATTGCAAGTTATCATGTACAATCACACAATCGCCAACTTTATTGATTGATATTAAGTTAATATCAATCAATTGTGACTTTCATCCTACAACTGCAAGTTAATAACACACTTTTTACCTCACAATTGTGAGTTAATATCATGAAATTGGGACTTTTTATCCTTTAAGTGAGTTAATATAAAAAATTTTTTACAACTTTTTACCTTACAGTTGTGTTATCACAAAATTGGGACTTTTTATCATAGAATTTTAAGTTAATCACACAATTGTGATATTTTACCTCAAACTTTTTAATATCACATAATTAATCAGTTGTGACTTTCATCCTACAACTGCAAGTTAATAACATACTTTTTACCTCACAAATGTGAGTTAATATTATGAAATTGTGAAATTATGAATTATGATTTATGAAATTGTGACTTTTTAATCTGACAAACGAGTTACTATTTATTTTCTTTAGTTCACAATTTTGAATGAATATCACTCAGTTGCAACTTTTTACCTTATGTGCTGACAAAATTGGGAATTTTTATCATAGAATTTTAAGTTAATCACACAATTGTGACATTTTACCTCAAACCTTTTACTATCACATAATCATACTTTTTTACCTCACAACTGCTAGTTAATACCACGCAATTACAACTTTTTCATCCTAAAATATGTGAATTTATATCAGTCAAGTGCATGTTTTTAATCGAAAATTGCAAGTTAATGTCATACAATTGTAACTTGTTACCTCATCCTTGTGAGGTAAATAAATATCATGCAGGTACTCCGTTTATTCAAAATTGTGAGGTAATATTACACAACTGTGACTTTTTCTCCTTCAGTTGCGATAATATGATAAAATTGCATCCTTGACCTGACAATATGATCAAACTGCAACGTTTTATCTTACAAATGTGAGTTCATAAGACCTAATCATGGTTATTGTAAGTAATTGGAACATGCCACTCTCTAAAGCCATCTATAATCATATTTGTCATAAAAATTAACATGTTGTGACATACCAAGAGTCAAATCCATGCAGCTGCCTGTGAAATGATCATCATTGTGTGTGTGCGTGTGTGTGTGTGTATGTGTGTGTGTGTTTGTGTGTGTGTGTGTGTGTGAGAGAGAGAGAGATAAAGCTATGAATGAAGATGATGAGCTGCTGATGAAGCAATGAGCTCTGACAAGCACAGCCGTCAAGGCGTTTGCCTGCTTGTATGTAGATGTGTGTGTGTGTGTGTGTGTGTGTGTGTGTGTGTGTGTGTGTGTGTGTGTGTGTGTGTGTGTGTGTGTGTGTGTGTGTGTGTGAAAAAGAGGGAGAAGTAGATATATTAACTGTGATTGTTGTGGATTTGTGTTTGGGATTTGGCTACATTATTTGGGTGAGTTATGACAGGTGTGCACCACATGAGTCTCTCTCTCTCTCTCTCTCTCTCTCTCGCTCCGATGGTGATGATGATGATGAAGATATCACTTTAAAGAACAATCTCCATAATATTTCATGCTCACTCAGCACCCGGGGGCTGCAGGCCAACTGCTCTATCAATTGATTTGATTCACTGCTGGAGTTTCTACCCTCTACTACACACACACACACACACACACACACACACACATACACACAAACACACACACAATATTTCAAATAAATGACATGATAAATATGATATCCGCATCAACACGTGAGGTGTAAATGAAAGGTGTGGATGAAGAAAGCAGGGCGACGTATTACTCCACTCAACAGGAAGAGTTTTATCTCTCACACTTCATTCTATTTCTCATTTCTTTCATTTTTGATAATGTGAGAAATGAACCAAGGAAAAAGAAATGTACACACACACACACACACACACAGAGAGAAAGAGAGAGAGAAATATTTGTAGCCATGTAAAAGGACCTTTATCTTATTTGTTAAATAATAGATTTTTTAGCAATTCTACTCTGTTTTATTATATATATGTATATATATATATATATATATATATATATATATATATATATATATATATATATATATATATATATATGTGTGTGTGTGTGTGTGTGTGTGTGTGTGTGTGTGTGTGTGTGTGTGTGTGTGTGTGTGTGTGTACGTTCTTTTCTACTGATATATTCAAACCTGCTGTATTATGATATATTCATTTCTATTTTACTCTGTCGTGACCTATTCTGTTCTATTCTTTTCTATTCTGATGTAAACATAATTTTTTAACTCTATTGTGATATATTCCACTTTATTCTATTCTGTTCTATTCTGTTATGATGTGCACCCCATCTTTGTATTTTACTTGAGACATATTCTACCATTATTCTATTCTGTTCTATTCTACTGTCCCATTCTATTGTGGTGTGTTTGTATATATAGAACTCTATTCTATTATGCTATATTCTACCCTGTGCTGTGCTAATTTACTGAATTTTACTCTACTGTGATATATGTTACCTTTTTTAACTCTATTGTTACGTATTCTGCCCCATTATATTTAGGTATATTCAACCATTTTTTTCTATTTGATTCTGTTCTATTCTATTGGGTTTTTTTTAACCCACTTTATATTCTATTCTACTCTACTGTAATATGTACTGCCCTGTGATACTCTGTTTTGATGAATTCTACCCTGTTGTGATGTATTTAACATTATTCTCCTCTGTTTTAATAATGACATTTTATTATATTATTATATATTCTACCCTATATGGTTTAATTCTATTCTAATCTAGTATGATATATTTACCCATAGCTACTCTATTGTGGTGTGTTCTACCTTCTTCTATTCTATTTCATGATTCTCTATTTATTGTTATATTATTCTATGCTATTCTATTCTAGTTCTATTCTATTCTAGTTCTGTTGTAATATACCATGTTCTATTCTATTGTCATGTTCTCCATTCTATCCTAGTCTATTCTATTATAATATATTCTACCCTTGGCTTCTTTGTTTTACTGTGTTTTACTCTTCTGTTGTATTCTATTCTATCCTTATTCTATTTTATTGTTATGCATTCCACATTATCCGGTACCGTTCTATTTTGATATTTTCAACTCTTTTTTTTTTTCATAAAGATGCATTCAACCCTTTCCTTTTATGATACTCTACTTTGTTCTGTATGTCTCCCCTATTTTATTCTGTTTTATTCTGTTATTCCTCACAGGGTGTTTAGGCCACAGAGAACACTTCCATATGACAGCAGTGTAATGTGTTTATGTGTGTGTGTGTGTGTGTGTGTGTGTGTGTGTGTGTGTGTGTGTGTGTGTGTGTGTGGTGGGGGGTATAAAGAGCTATGATTAATCACACAGCTGATGACGGATTGTGTGAGGATGAAGATTCTGTCAGACACTCATATGACTAATGAACAACATAATAATGGAAACATACATCACTCAATGTGTGAGCTGCAGGGGGGTCAAAGGAAGGCCTCACTGCTGAATGCCCTACTAATGAGTCCACTGGAGACTGTCCCTACTCAGTGAGAGAGAGAGAGAGAGAGAGAGAGAGAGACTGAGACTATAGCAGGATTAGGTGCCTGTTAAAGAGATCTCCTTTCAGACCCACACTTATCATTGTTGTAGTGTGTATTCGTTATGCCTAATCCAACCAACTTCCCCGAAATGAAAACAGATTGAACTCTGATTCTAAACTGGTTTTACATACTGGATTATTAAAGTATTAAATTTCATTTGTATTCCAGATTCTCTCAGTATGAATACCAACATTGAAAGCAGATGTATAAAGCAAAACACATTCTGACAGTATACTCCGGAAAACGCTGGCCAGACGCCTTGCAAGGCTGTGCCCTGACTTCCTGGTTTAGACCGTAATATCTGTCCTCATTATTACTACTGTTTATGTTGCTTTCTCCAAAAAAGAACAGGAAGGCCACTTCAGTCTGGACCAAACAGAATGTATTTATAATATTTACGCAGCGCTGCACTCTGTAAACGGACATGGGATGAAGTCTAACATCTTTGTATTCACTTTATGCGGATGCAATGACCACTGGATGTGCTTTCAGTCTGATTTTATATCGGAACTGCACAATATTGGCGTGCCTGTTTGAATTAGAGTTAGAGCACTATGAAGTTGTGTCAACAGAAGAGAAATGATGTATTCTATTCTATTCTATTCTATTCTATTCTATTCTATTCTATTCTATTCTATTCTATTCTATTCTATTCTATTATAATATTGTGGTGTGTTATATTCTATCCTGTTCTGTTATTTTGTGATGTCTTCTATTATGGTCTATTTAGATCCACTCCATTTTTTTTATTGTACATTTAGGTATTCTATTCTATTCTATCTATTGTGATGTATTCTACTCTCTTTGGTTTCATCTATGTGATGTATTCTATTCTGTTTCATTCTAGTCTGATCTATTTCAGTCTACTGTGTGATATTTTATATAAACTGTATTCCATTCTATTGTGATGTATTCTATTCACATCTGTTTTATTGGGATGTATTTATTTTACTGTGACATATATTACTCTGGGGCGCACAGTGGCTTAGTGGTTCGCACGCTCGCCTCACACCTCCAGGGTCGGGGGTTCGATTCCCGCCGGGGCCATGTGTGGAGTTTGCATGTTCTCCCCGTGCTGTGGGGGTTTCCTCCGGGTACTCCGGTTTCCTCCCCCAGTTCAAAGACATGCTTGGTAGGCTGATTGGCGTGTCTAAAGTGTCCGTAGTGTATGAATGGGTGTGTGAGTGTGTGTGCCCTACGATGGATTGGCACCCTGTCCAGGGTGTACCCCGCCTTGTGCCCGACGCTCCCTGGGATTGGCTCCAGGTTCCCCGTGACCCTGAAAAGGATAAGTGGTAGAAGATGGATGGGTGGATGGATATTCTACTTGGTTCCCTTCTACTCCGTACTTTTGTCATGTACTCTACTCTGTTCTGTTCTATTGCAACAAATCCTATTCTATTCTAAAGTTAATTCATTAAGATTGTGTAATTATGACTTTTTAATTGGTCTGTCAGTGTTTATAACAGCTTAAGAAAAGCAGAACTCGGCTTTTTAAAATGTTTTGCCATCTCAGAACAACTGTGTATCTTATTACAGGTCTTCTTACAGAACTTGTCTTACCACAAACTTTTCATATTAATTAAATGCTTCATCACTTATGCCTTCCATGTGCAAAGTTCTTTATCATTATTCATGTGTCAGATTCTATAAGCTTTTGTAAAAGTACTGGTCCAGTGTTGACAGTCAGCTGCGATGTCTGCCACGCTTGACCTTATTGATTCCCAGCATTAGCCGACAGACACCATTTACGCCACAGATGAGACCCCAGTCTTTCTCTTTCTCTAAATTTCTGTCTCTCGGTCATGGTTATTATTCCAATTATTGATATCAGAGCAACATTTCACTCGTTTGGTTCTCCTCTGCAACAGCTCTAACAGATCAATACATTTGATCAGTGTGAGGTCCTATTGGGAAAGATTCCCAGAGGGCAATCTCACTGCTGCAGCTTAAGCAGTGCAGAATGAAAGTACTGATATAATAGATTTATTAATCTACATAAGGCTTTCTATGAATCCTGTATTCATATTGTATTAAAATATGTTTTATGTGTTTTATAGCATACATAATACCTTATATTGTCTGGTATGAACCTGCATAAATACTGCATAAAAGTGTTGTTGTAATTACATGGATGACAATTTATAAAGCATGTCAGCTTACAAAACACGTTGTTATATTTGTTCATAAGAACATTGCAGATCATTAGCGTAGTATTGTTCTAATGCATTTTAACTGAGCCTACGCTACATTATATATGATATATTATGTCTGTACTACATGTTATAATCCTTTACACATACACAATAAGTTTAACATTTTTGTAAAAAGTATATAACACATAATAGAACATTATACCATGACATTACAGGCTACAGAAGTAACCCAAGGTATATGTTATGATGCATAACTTTCTGTATAGATACTATACCAGAATCTGAATTAGTTTTATGGAGGAGAGTAGAGGCTTTTTTCTTGAAATCCTTCCAAACAAACTTGTGGTGATGTAGGTGACTTCGGATTGTAGTTTTGGAGACTTTCTGACCCTAAGACGCAAACAACTTCTGCGATTCTCCAGCTGTGATCCTTGGAGATTTTTTGTACGCTCGAACCGTCCTTTTCACAGTGCGTTGAGACGATATAGAGACGCGTCCAATTCCAGGTCGATTTATAACGTTTACAATGGACTGGAATTTCTTAATTATTGCCCTGATGGTGGAAATGGGCATTTTCAAATGCTTGTTCTATTTTCTTATAGCCACGCCCCATTTTGTGAAGCTCAACAACCTTTTGCCGCACATCACAGCTATATTCCTCGCTCTTACCCATTGTTATCAATGACTAAGTGTATTTGGCCTGCGTCTTACCTCATATTTATGATTGAACATTGACTGAACAATTTCCTGGTCCTAGTCACCCAGGTGTACTAAATCAATTTACAATATCAATGGGAATATACTTCAAATATATTTGTCTCATATGAATTCATAAGGATAACTGTTGCACAGCCATATTTAACAAAGTTTTTTTTGTTTGTTTGTTTTTTGTTGTTGTTTTTTTTTATATTAGTCAATATTAGTCGAGGACCCTTTTATGTGTGTACATATATATATAATATTTATATATATATATATATATATATATATATATATATATATATATATATATATATATATATATATATATATATATATATATATATATATATATATATATATATATATATATATATATATATATATATATATATATATATATATATATATATATATATATATATATATATATATAAATGTTATCCAGCTGGTGTACAGGTGTTATCCAGCTTATAAGTCATATAAGCATACTTAATAAACTGTTATGGCCATTTTTATATAGTTGAATAGTATACGTTGAATACAAATTGAGAGACTAAATGTGTATGTTATAATGCATTATAACTTGCTGTACAGAACTATACTAGAACATCTCCTATGGTGCATTAAGTCATTAATCACTACAATGTTCTTATTATCAAATACTATGCTGTTTATATAACAATAGAGGCCTACAGTATGTATTATAAATTAGGTAGGTATCATAAATGCTCATAAACATGTTTCAGTATTATGTAGACTATATGTCAGGTTACAGGCAAATAATTAATGACAATGAATAGTTAATAGTTCACAGTGTGTGAACATACGAGTGTGTTTTTCTGTATCTCATTGCTCCGTCTGACCTCACCGCTTACACAGTTCTTCCCAAAAGGCTAGTCTTTTTCTTCCGCCCCCAAAATTTCCCACAAAAACTCTCAACAGCGAGACGCAGCGATGGACAATGTCTCTGCCTGCATGACCTGAGCGCCCAATAGAGATTCAACTTTGCATTTCAATCTCTGTTGTTGTGGCGGAGGTAATTTGATTGATAGGCTGTTTATCATTCAGCTGGGACTGACACTCATTTGGGCCTGGAGGGCATACATCCTTGTGTGTGTTTGTGTGTGAGTGTGTGTTTGTGTGTGTGTGTGTGTGTGTGGAGAGAGAGAGAGAGAGAGTGAGAGAGAGGGTGCATTTTATCCAATCTTTTGCCCCCTGGTTCACATTTAGCTGACCCCTCAGGGTCATCCCAACTTAAGTAAGAGTGAAAGTGTGTTAAACATGTACACAGACCCCACAGCTGCAGCAGCTCTCCTCCTCCTCCTCCTCCTCTTCCTCCTCCTCCTCCTCTTTCTCCTCTTTCTCCTCTCCGAGCTGACTTTGATGCTTTAGCAATCCATACATATTGATTTAAAGCGATAATAAACAATTTGATTAGCCTCCTTCTATAGGCTGCCACTTCAATCTATCACAAGGGTCCAGCCAAGTGGAAGACGAGGCGAAGAGGAGGGAGAGCAAGAGAACAAGATAGACAGACAGAGAGGAAAGGAGAGCGATTGAGGAAGGGGAAGGGTGGACCACAGAAAAAGGGGATCCTGGCATGATTATGTGTCAGGGTGTTCTGAATTGGACAGGACAGCTGAGCTGCCTGCTTATTAACTCCCTCAGAAAATTCTCGGGGCTCTGGCGAGCACGCCGCAGCGCTACCATCTGGATCGATAAGCAATCTCCGCTGTGTACTGAGCAACTGCAACATTCATTTGTCTTCCACTATCCACCCCTCTCTGTCTCTATCTCTCTCCTTCTCCCACTCTGTCCTCACCGGACAAGGCACCTGAACGGGCGAAAAAAAGCAACCTTTAATTTCTCTCCACCTTTCAATTCAATTTTTCAGTTTGGTTATCCCTACACACGCTCACTCTCGGTCCATCTTTTCCCCATTCTTTCTCTCTCTCACTCTATCTCAAGCTTCGTCACGTTTCCGCAGGCTCTGTCACTTTCTAGATAATAACCCCGAGAGTGAGAGAACAACTGCCTCGATCCATCTCATCACTCTGACCCTTTTCTTCTGTCCCTAAGACTATAGAGAGAGAAAAGACGGACAGCTAAAGAGCATCTTTGGTAAGATCATAGAGTGGAAAGCATTTATTAACCATATGAATTAGCATTCGTATTTGGAATGCTTATTATGTTGAAAAAGCAAGGAAGCGGAGAACATTCAGGAAGTAACAAAAGTCACGAATGCGTAATTACAGAGCAATAACCATGACTGAGGTTTCTTTAGGAATTCCTTAATTAGCTAATTCTATAAATACTAAACATGCCGCTAGATGACAAGTGAACTTGCATTTGCTTTCTATCTAACATTGTATTTAGATAATGTCTTCCTAACCAGCATACAGTATCCCAGCTAGCACATGTTGCTAAGTGTAGCTTGTATGCTAATTAGGAAGATGCAGGCACAACATTTATCCATCCATTTTCCATGCTGCTTATCCTATACAGAGTTGTGGGTGGAGCCTGGAGCTTATACCAGGGAACTCGGCGCACAAGGTGGGGGAAACCCTGGACAGGGTGCCAACGCACCACATGGCACAATCGGATACGCATTCATACAATACAAACAATTTGGAAATGCCAATCAGCCTACAACACATGTCGTTGGACTGGAGGAGGAAACCTGAGTACCTGGAGGAAACCCCCAAAGCATGGGGAGAACATGCAAACTCCACACACGCAGGGTAGAGGTGGGATTCGAACGCCCAACCCCGGAGGTGCCAGGCAAGCATGCTAACCTCTAACATCCCAGATCCAAAGTCTATTTCCTTGGTCTCACTACACAATGTTGTACAGACAATGGGCCAATGTTGGCAAAAGACTCACTTTTCATAACAACTCCGCCAGTGTTAGGCCAACGATGGCCCAGCTTGAGTTAACATTGGCATGGTGGTTATAAAGGTGAGGCCGTGGCCTCTATGGGCCTTGGTGGTTGAACAGACAAAATAACATTGAGCAAACGTTGGCACCAAATGCCGCCAAGGTGCATTTAAAGGTGGTTGAAAGTTTATCAGCACTGGTGGCCCAACATCGGTCTTGCTAAGTTTATGTCAGTTAATTACAGGAGGAAAGGTCTGTGAAGGAAACTTCAGCTGAATCTGTTTAATACAATCTGTTTAATCTGTTTCTGAA